GCACGGCCGTCTGGATCTCTCTGGACGTGAGGGTGGCGCGCTGGTTGGAGCGGACCAGGTGACTGGCCTCCTGGACGATGCGCTCGAACATGACCTTCACGAAGGAATCCAGGATGCTCAGGGCCTCCTGTGAAAGGCTCAGGTCCTCGTGAATTTTCTTGAGAACCCGGGGGAAGTAGGTGGTGAAGCTCTGGCTTTGTTTCTTGGCGAGCCTGCGGCGCGTGGACTGCTTCCTCTTCAGGGCCGCCTTCTGCTGCTGCTGCTGCTGTGATGAAGCTTGCTGTGGTTCTTGGAATGCTTGCACTGCACAGCCTTCTGCTTTGGGGCCTCCTTCTGCTCCTGCTTCTTTTTAGGCTCTGTGGACTGGATTTTTCTGGTTCCCTTAACCCCAGGGACTCCTCAGTGAAAGCCTCAGTGAGTTGGTCATCCATTTTGTAGTCTATTTCCTGGCAACTAGCAGGAATGACAGTGGTGGCCTTTGAGGGGCTGTGGTCTGCTTGTCTTTGTGGAAGTCATGCAATGGCCACCTCTCATCGGATGAAATGCAATGGGGACTGCCTGTCTTTAGGCTGCCTAGGCTTCTAGGCAGCATATGGGATTGGTTCATCCTTTTCCTGGACGTCACAGCATTTTGGCATTTGTTGACCTCTACTCTTCATGGTATGTCCTCAGAAAATCATTGAGAGATATCCTGTATAGCAAACAGTCATCTGAAAATATCGAATGAGTTGTTATTAAAGCTTAGCAGTGACGGACAGTGTTCCAATACCCCAGCCAAAAAGTATAGTGCTTCAGGACAGAACAGAGGCTACTTCTACATCATTATATTCAAATGAAGACAGGCATACTTGCAAATAGATTGGAACACAAATGAATGAAGTCCTGTCAATAAACCATGATGTTAAATGTGATTGGATGGGACTACTTGGCAAGGACCATTTAGAAGGTATGGAATAATGAGACCACCTAGGAGCTTCTAGGACCTGCACGAAGAGCCCTGGGAAGCCACATAGGAACCAGGCTAAGAAACCACCACATCCAAATTCTGATACAGAACCTAAGTGACTTGGAAAAATAGATAAACCAATATGCAGATACTGAAAACAGAAAAGGTTAATTTTCAACTATATCACCATTGGAAAAAATGGACAAAATATGTCAGTTGAGGAAACAATAAGTTACAGAATTGAATCCAAGTCTCCTCTCCCTCTCCCTAAAGGGTTTTACAGCCTATGGCAATGAAAGAGATTAAGGTCATCCCTTAGTTGTAGAAATTTCAGCTTCGGTTCCATGAGTGTCTGACCTTGGCAACCTAGATCATTGATGCCAGGTGTAAACCACTGTTCTCATTTGAAACATTTGTCTACCAACCCAAAATCACCTGTTTCTGCTGCTCTAAGCCACTCTGACTAGAGCAGAGACTTTTGGACTCAGTGCAGAGCTCCTGAAACATTAAGGAACCAAGCTAAGAAATCACCACTTCCAAATTCTGGTCCAAAACCTCAGTGACTTGGAAAAAGGAAAAAATAGATAAACTGATATGCAGATTCTGATAACAGAAACAGGCATATTTATAAGGTGGTAAAATATATACTTGAACTTTAACCAAAATTAAAATGCTCTCTTCATTCCACTAAGTCCTAGAAAAATACATATGCTAAGCTGTGTAATTGTTGAATGAATATGAGCACTGTTGACTGAAAGAAAAAATACAGAATTGTACATACATGTAATCTCATTAGTGAGGCAAAATAAATAATACAGTTCATATTATTCTATTTAAAGGTTAATTTTCAACTATATCACCAATGGAAAAAATGGACAAAATATGTCATTTGAGGAAACAATAAGTTACAGAATTGAACCCAAACTTCCTCGCCCTCCCCCTAAAAGGTTTTACAACCTATGGCAATGAAAGAGAGTAAAGTCATCATGAGCTATTGGTCAAATGATCAGGATCCTGAAAATAATCAACATCAGGTTAATAAGGTATAGGTTTTTTTTCCTATTAATGAAATAGTGACATAGTAGGAAGGGAGAAATTTCATATTAAAGAAGATGTAAGGCAAAATCAGCATTTAAGAGAGTTCTAAGCAATTATTTTTATAAACCAAGATGTTAAAGTCCACATAAAAATTAGCAACCATATCGAGTATCATGGTAAACGGCAAAAGAAAAAGAATCCATTCGAGAAAGCATAGCCATTTCAGACTAGTAAATTACAAACACGATTCACTTGATGATGTTAAAGGCAAAAGAATCATCCATTCTCGGTACAAGCTTTAAATCCTTTTGCTAATAATTTGTGTGTTTCACAAACATTGAATGCACTTGTCAGGATGATTATCACCATTATCTGGTATATTAGAAAATCATATAAAGGGATGGTGCAAGGATTTTAGTGCAAAAGAAAAAAAAAAGACCTAGGGAACAAACATGAAAGCAAATACATGAAAATCTCCACAGGATTGATTTACAGATCTGAAATAAAGTTTTCAGAAAGCACAGGCTCTTTTCAGAGATGTGTTTGTTCAGAAACAGACCCAGGGGCATATTCAGGAATAAAAGCATTTGACTTCTTTATATCATGCTAATTGTTGCTGCTTTAAAATGCCAATATTTGTCGTTCCAATGCTTTACCAAAGTTACCCTAGCACACAGAGTAGGGTACATGTTATAAGGCTTGTACATATTATATTAAAAGGTATTGTAATATATTGAATTCATTAGCACAGTTGTATGTTTTGACTGTTTCACACTTGAAAGTAAGCAGAAGCTGTAGTAAAAAGATGCTTTAAAATGCACTATCATTTTAAGGAAAACACTGGCTTGATGTCAAAGACTGGAAGAAACAATCAACATCTGAGTTTTAACCTGATGGGTGAATGAAGAACAAAAGGACCAAGTGAGCACTCGTGTTCTAATGCTGCTTATGAAAAAGACTAAATAGGTGGAGTGCATCGATCATTATAAACCACATAAGCCTGAATTTAGGGGAACGATATTAATAAAATAAAAATTCCACTGACCTGTAAAAAATTCCCTTTACTACGTAACACAAGCAAACTAACAAAAAGCACAAAAATAGATAAAATAAAAAATCTAAATATCCTTATCAAGTATCCGGACTTTGAAATTAACATTCTAATTCAATCAGATTTGCTTTTATTCTTTCCCAGTCTGTAATCATTCCTTTTTTAAAAAAAGATTTATTTATTTGTGCATACAGAACTGGGGTTCAGGCCAGAGATGCAGGGATGGTGAGAGGATTCACCAGACACAGAGTGGGGAGCAGAACAGGCAGATGGAGGACGTACACTGCTGAGGGGAGCAGCGGGCGGGTCTGGAGAGGTCTGCCGAGTCATGTGGATCACCTCTGGAGCGGTCGGGGTTCAAACTCATGCGGAAGTGGCTTTAGCTTCTTAGTGCTGTGCTTTAACCTGCTGCGCCACCAGGGAGGGCCTGTAATCATTCATTTTTAAAAACAAACTAAAATGACCTGCCACTGTGCATCACTCAAAGGGAATGTGCAATGAAAGCAGGCCACTGGCTCAAACAAGGAAGCACCTGCCTCTTACATCTTACTAATTGAACCACAGAGATGTTTTTTTTTTAAAGATTATTTATTCATACAGAACTGGGGTACAGGCCAGAGATGTGGAGGATGAGAGGATTCACCAGAGACAGAGCGGGGAGCAGAACAGGCAGATGGACGAAGTACACTGCTGAGGGGAGCAGTGGGTGGGTCAGGAGAGGTCTGCGACGCCATGTGGATCTCCTCCGGGGCAGGCGGGGCTCGAACTCATGCGGAAGTGACTTAAGCTTCTTAGTGCTATGCTTTAACCTGCTGCGCCACCAGGGAGGGCCAGATTTCCAAATTATTTTAAAAGTGAAAATGAGACAAATATATATATTTATATATGTGCATGTATAGGTGTATATGTATTCATATACACACTTACAGGCAATTTTGGACATTAACATAAGAACAGAAAATATTAATTTCAGTATGGACTTTCCGGACGTGTGTAACATGCTAGAAATCAATTAACTAGAAATGCACTGAGAATAATCACCAAATATTCAAAATTAATCATTAAGCAGTAAGAAAAAAAAAAACTAATAAAAGCCACTGGGACAAGAAGACAAAGACACAGTGGTAATTACTTTTACGTCATCATAAATTATAACATTCAAATGGCATAAGAAAAAGGAGTCATCTTAGCTCTTTCAATTCCTGCCTTCCACTTCTTAATTCTGTGCAAGGGGCTACAGACCCTTCCCACTCCCTGCTGTGGATTTTATCCATTCATAAAAAGAGCAAGAGAGAAAACAAAAGAAAAAAAAAAAACCAGCGAGGCAGAGTATCCCCTAACTCCTGAGGCCCCTGTATAACACCATAGGAAGCTTTCATGGGTTTAGCACTCCTTAATCTACCTGGCTTTGCCAAAGACTGTGACTTCTGGATTCCAAGTCAGATGTGTGTGAGATTTGAGTTGTTTCCACTGGAAAGTTCCATTTTCTATGAGTTGGAAGCCAGGAAGGTTGTGTATGAACGTTGAAACATTCTGGGCCGTAGTAGAACAAGGTAGACTGGAATAAACTGAAAGAGAAATTTCAGAAACTAGGGAAGTAAAAAAGGTCATTATTTCCTGTAAATGTGTATTTAGCTATGTTTGCAGGGCATGTTGAACCTCATTTACATACTTAGATGTATTTCTAGCATAAAGCAATTAACATAAATACATATGTGTGTGTAATTAACAAAGTGAAGTGGAGAGCGTTATACCTTAATATACTGCCATATCAAGTTAAGAATCCATGGATAATTCCACTGGACACTTTGGAGACTGTGAGTGAATACTACATCCCTATGGATATATGTTCACTTTACAACTCCCACCAGGAGCTCACCTCAAAAAAGGCTCAGTCAGTGCCCCTTGCAGCCATCTCTCACACACTATGGTCATGGGAATTCTGTCTCCCTGAAATGAAGATTACTGTGACTGTATCAGCCCAGGATAGGCGGCTCACTGGTGGTTGATGTATCTGATGAGGGCCTGGGTGCCCTCACTCACAGCGCGCTTGCCCATGTCCCGGGGAAGCAGCAGGTACACAGCTATCTGTATCTCTCTGGGCATGATGATGGCGCGCTGGGTGGAGCAGGCCAGGTGGCCGGCCATTCCCCTGGCTTAAGCACCCTAGCTCCAGTAGGAGGTCTGCCACATGCCCAGCAGAGTGCCTCTGGACTCATGGTATGTCATCACCCTCAAGTGTGCTGTCTGCCTGGGGACAGCTTCAGCAAGTCGTGGGCTCTTCTCAGAGCTTCCTTCCTAACCATAAAGAGAACCATAAGTCTGAAGAGAGGGATCTACTCTAGATTTTTGTCTGTCCCATTCTGGTGTTCAGTATTTTGTCAGTGATTCTGCTCACTCTCACCACCACCTTGACCTAAGCTCTTCAGTTTTGAAGCCCAAATTCATTATATGTCAGCATAGGCACACTGGTGGAGTTTCAGACAGTTAAATTATGAAACCAGGGTTGAGCTCACGAGCACTAATCAAGCAGCTGGTATTGTCAAGAGATTAATCTGATGGAAATCTCATTGGCTCAAATCAGTTGGGAGTGGCACTGTTGCCAACCAAGTAAAACGGACCGATCAGGTTGGAAATGTAGGTATTCTGGACTCACTCCTAGGAGTCCTTCACAGAGCTGTAACACCCACCCTGTCCTCTAGCACAACCACTACTCAAACCAAACTTTGGACCCCCACCTTGACATTGCCTGCTGAATGACAATAACAGCCATGTGCTCAATGTCTCAAAAAGGGGTGTTTGCTGTTGGTTAGTGTTCAGCTTCTCTAAGAACACAAACATTGATCCCTGCCTTTGACAGTCTGGCATTTCCCCCTGGTCCTATTTCCTCTCATTGCAACCTGTTTGGTGTCCAGTGCTGCCCAGCCTGGGCTTTGGATTGTTGTTGCTAACTGTTGAGGTGCCACCTCTGGAGAAATATTTGCAACAACCTTCACAGACCTTTGAGACATTTCCATCTAACCTCACTTCAAATTGCTGCCTGACCATTCCCTCTGGTCCTGCCTCTTTCCTTCCTCGCAGTTTCATTATCTCTCTCTCTTCTTTGTAAATATGCCCTGTTGCCACACCAGAGCCTGAGTTGTTTCCTGCAATTGCAGCTGTAAGTGCATGGCTGAGGACCCACCCACCATGACAATGGCTCCCCCCTTCCCCAGCCCCTGCACGGTTTTGCATGGTTTCCATATGAACGAATAATTAAACTTGATCCAAATTTAGCAACCTTGATATATTTGTGTGTTTCTATAAATGCAATTTATTCCATGGAAAATCATTATAAGGTTATTTACCATGTTAATTACCTGTCTTGAGAGATGAATATGGCAATTCCTATAGGTATTCTGTGAGTGACACAGTGATACATAAAGTGAACAAACTAATATGCCACCCATCAACTACCCATTTTAAACATTTTTCAACTTATACTTTCCATTTTTCAACTTACACTTTCACTTAAATCACTTAAATGCATAAATGAGTACTCAAAAAGTATACAAAAATAGATCAATAAAACTTTTTCTTTTTCTTAAGATTTATTTATTTATGCATACAGAACTGGGGTACAGGCCAAAGGTGCAGGGGCAGTGAGAGGATTCACCAGAGACAGAGTGGGGAGCAGAACAGGCCGACTGACGAAAGTACACTGCAGAGGGGAGCAGCGGCGGGTCAGGAGAGATCTGCCACGCCATGTGGTCACCTCCGGGGCGGGGATCGAACTCATGCTGAGGTGGCTTTAGCTTCTTAGTGCTGTGCTTTAACCTGCTGCGCCACCAGGGAGGGCCACCAATAAAACTTTTAATACAATTCTCTTTTGTAGTCACTTACCCCAGAAATTACCTTTTTTTTTTCATTCAGATTTATCCTATTGTAGTTTTACAAATAGTATTTTAAGTTTTAAATGCAAAAATTCTTTACATGCAATTTATGTCTCAGTGGATGATTAATTGTCCAATAAGAGCAATTCAAGTGTTGATTTGTTGACAGCCTTCCTGCAAGTGAAACATGAGAGACAAGGGCTTGCATTAGGAAATCAAAGGTTTATTCAAAGACAGGTATCCTAAGGAGATGGCTAGATTGGTGTCCCAAGAAACCATCTGGGATCTCTCAAATTGATAGTAGGATTTTTAAAGGGATGGGGGGGTGCATGGAACATGTTGATCATTATGTTCTTTTTCAATGTTATTTTGACTTGTGGCCATCTGGCCATTAGACTGGTGTTATATTTCAAGGACAGAGGTTATGGTGTCAACAATCCCAGTTCCTGATTTCCTTATGTAAATGTAAGGCTGGTAATTCACTAGATGAGTTCTCCATCTTAGTGTCAGCAGGTTGTACTTGTTTTCTGGTTTTTCCTGCAAAATGTTAAATAGGGCAGGAACAAATAATTTCAGCATTGAGAGAGGAACAATAACAGAAAATACAAGGAACTTATGGTTATTGGGCCCATGACAATTCCCTATTCAGTTTATATCCCACTCCTCATTGAGTGGCAAAGGATAGGGGTCCAACTTCTGAAACTGCTTTCTACCGAATAAGGGCAGAGTTTTGGGGGGCCTGTAGAGGAGAAGAATTTTCCCTCGCTATTTTGAGATACAACTGGTTGTCACAGGTTGTAATTCTGTTTATATCTTTGCGCTATAATTATTTGGAATTTTAATAACTACAGCCTTTTGGAGACAAAGGAAAATAAGCAATTCAGAAGAAAGGGGCCAAAGGATCATAAGAAACTTAAACAGGTTAGAGATAAACATGGGGTTGACTAAATTTCACTGACTAGTCACGGGGCACTTCATACTATGAAATGTACATTGTTCATACTATGAACTATGAAGAGGTTTTTCTTCAGAGAACTGTGGTTTTGAAATTCCATACTCTCCTTCCTCTGGGTAACCCCTTCTGTGCATTTTTAGTTCCCAGCCAGCCTTGAAGCTCAGCTTGGGGGTATTTGCTTTTATTGCAATCTGTCAATACAAGCCTGGAAGAGAAAAGTTTAGATAAGTTTCTTTCTTTTCTGCTTTTCAGGGTCTGAAAGGAATTTAACTATTTAGCTTCAGTTCCAAGTCCATACTGATGCAGCCAGTGGGGACTGCGAGGCTGTGAGCCACATTCATTGGTCCAAAGTGTAGTGGAGTGACCAGAGCCGAACCAATAACAGCCTTGCTGTAATAGTCATCCAGGAGACTGAGGGGGAAGGGTACAGTTCTTTGTCTTTTGGTATTTCTCTCTTCACTTGTTTTTAATCTTGGTGATTTAAAGCTACGAACCCAGACTACAGGATGCACATATTCCTGGCTTTTGGCATCATATATGAGAGAGGTGGTCAAGAATTAAGGGAACAAAGAGTTGCCTTTTTTCCTGTAAAATATGAATGTCAGGGTAAATTTCCTATGATGGTTAATGTAACACCATGTTTTCTTCTTGATCCAATGGCCTTTAATTTGAACAATTTAAAAAAAAACATTACTGAATTTCAATGACATTGATGATTTTCTACTTTTCTTTGTAAATTAATTTCTTGCTTCATACTCTATGAACCCCTTGAACATCACATTGCTTATTTGATAGCCCAATATTTTGCCATTTTTTTTCATTTGAACATTTATAATTGTTTCAAGTAAACTGTTCCTTTAGATGTAAAAAAGCCTCTGAAGAATGTAACTCCAAGTCAAACAATGAGACAAAAGTGGGTCATCATAAAATTTAAAACTCATCAAACAAGAGATTAGACTCTCCCAAGAAACGATCACAGAGAATATTACACATTTCATTATAGGGTATAGTGAAGGGAACCCCAGGACCCCCAAACTTGCTCGCTCTAAATAGGTTCTGCCATCTGCCACATCAAACCAAAACATACTCTAGTACATAAGAGCTTTAATGGAAATGAACATTAATACAATTAGTATGCAATAAAGAGATGAGAATGGAAAGACAGAACATAGTATTCAAATCAAGCACCTGAAGTTACTTACCCCATGCTGGGAAAATACCTAGCCAATCAGGGCTGTCCCAAAGCAGGGCCAAAAGCCTACCACAAGTCTAAGGCACCCTCTGGTTCCCATAGGAAAGATACAGAAGGAGTCCAGCATGTCTGGGATGGAAAGAGCAAAATCAAAACCAAGATAAAAGCTGCCATTAACCTCCCACGGGTCTCTCACCCACATCTGTTTCAGCCAGTTCAAGACCAAGAAGCAAGTGCAACTTCTTCACATATCTCTCTGCTCCCTGTGCCTCCTCCAGGTCTCCCTCTAGTTCCCCATCTTTCTTCCATAATTCTTTCGGTCTTCTCTTCAGCTTCTCTCTTCCTCCTTGCTCAGCTCCATCCTTCTTGGGGGGGAGCAGGGAACCTGGAACCACCCCTGTCCCTGGGGACCACCCTGTTCCAATTTGACCAAGCACTACTTGCTCCAGAGAAAACTGGAGGCAGGTCAAGATACTAGAAAGAGCTTCATTGAAAATGCAAGCACGAAGGAGTGGCAGTTTTTTCTCCAGAACTCTCTTTAGTAACAATTGAGACAACTTATAGGGCATTATTATTATGGAACATTAGAAAAATCTTACCAAGCATCTTTTAAATAGGAGCTTGTTGCACATACACCTATAAAAACTACCATGAAATCACTTGCAACTAACTTCTTCTTTGTGGTTCCTAGAAATTGTTCTGCACAACCAACAAAACTTTAAAAGCTGAAAGTCCTTTCCAGAGCCATGCAACTTTTCAGAAAAACAACGTAGAACCAGTTTGGGAAAAAAAAAAAAAGTCCATATTGAAGAATCACTTACTTTCTATTATGGTAATTTTGCTGCTTTATAATCCAGTATTGTGTGTGTTACATGAAGTCATTTTGGAGAGGTGTTAGGCTCAGAGAGTGGTGTCCTTGGGTTATCTCTGGGAAAAGTTTCACGAGGGATCCCCTTGCAGCAACACGTGGCAGGTTTCACAACTTCATTTCCCCATGAGGCAGAGATGTTTAGTTTTATCCAAAAGGGCAGGCTTATTATGAAAAGGGAGAGGAAAGGATATTTGCACAGACACAAGGAAGCAGAAAGAGCTGCCCCAAAGGAAGTTTACTAAGAGAGAGGCCTGTGTG